TATATATATAAAAAATATATGTTTGCTATATGAAATATTTGTTTTTGTTTGACACTTTTATCCTGTTGTTGTAGTGGTATAATTGAGTAAAAGTTGAAAGATAGATTATACCATGCTGTGCAACTTAAGAAGATTAATTTGACCTATGCAACCACCTTACCATTAAATTTAAAAATACGTTTAGTATAACAATATAATACTTAATCCATATTTAATTAACAACAATATATGTTAAAAATAATCAAGAGTTGCAGCGTACTTTGTCATAATGAATTGACATATTAAGTTTAGCAGAATGGCAACATTGATGTAAACACATGTTCCAATCAAAACAATTTACAAATATTTCAAACATTATTTTGGATATAGACCTCTTCTATACTAGTTTTAAAGCAAAACCCAAATAAAACAGTTGATCCTGGTGAATTTCTTAAGTATAAAGTGAGTTTGCTTAAAGGTGTCTGTTGTGTAAACCTGTTAATAATTATTTTGTAAAACAAAGTGATAACAATGGATCCAAATTTAAAAGCTAAAATTGACCAAGCCTGCAGAACAGCAGAGGAATTTACAAAAGTGTATTATGAGTCTGTTGATAAGAAGAGACATGTAAGTATATTAACAGTGTGGTTGAGAATTGGGAACATAACCTTAAAATATTTTCTTTGTAGCTCATTTCCAAGTTGTACCTAGACACAGGTTTGCTAACATGGAATGGCAATGGTATAACTGGATGTGAACCCATCCAGAAATTCTACATTGAACTTCCATCAACTGATCACACTGTGGTTACATTGGATGCACAGCCTGTTTATGGTAATATTAATGTTTCTTCCTCTTTTAAGATGTTTTGGATTCAATTTAGTTGAATTTAACAGTAAAATAATAGTGATTATGATTTACTTTAATTTTATATTTAAATGTAACTAATTCTGTCTATTCTAAGTTATTTAAGAAACTTATTCAGTATTTTATTAATATAATCGATTTATTATAGATATGGCTGTGAATGGGCAACTGACCTTTTTGATTCAAGTTAGTGGACACGTAAAATACCAGAACAAAAGTGCGAAGACTTTCCAGCAAAGTTTCGTCGTGACGGCCCTCGGTGATAAATGGAAGATAGTGAGCGATTGCTTCAGACTGCAAGAGCCACTCTCAGCTGAAAAATAATAATATCTATCTACTTGCTGTGAATAATGTGAAATGAAAGAAAAAAAAACAGGGATTCATACATGTAAGCTATATTCGCTTCCTTTTTTTTTTAATAATGACTTTATCAATAATAATAAATATCAATGGGTATAAAACACTATAAGCTATAATAATAATGTGAATATAATCAGACTCATATAGTTTTTCCTCTTCCCTTCATTCGACTTTCCCCCCTTCTTCCTTCTCATCATCATCACCATCAATTCATTCCTTTAACTTATATAATTCTTTGATACCTTTCAACTGCATTAAAAGTGAGCAAATGAAACAAAAAATAATAAAAATAATAATACATAGACTAAACTTATTTCAGTCTCAAGGGTTCACGAAAGTAAGAAATCAATGTGTGCGCAAATGTAACATGAAAATAATAATTAAATGAAGAAACATACAGGAATGTATATAAAAAAAAACTAAGTGCTACACAACATCGCTCGGTAAAGTTTAAGGCATAAATACGTTTTTGGCGGCAATATTATTTTTTTGTTTCGTTTGATTTGTTCTTCTGTTGTGCACAAGCTAAATTTCCCTTTAAGAAAGTATATATATATACATACATATAAATATATATATATATAAATGAAATTCCACCCCCTTTTCCCCCTATAATATATATATATATATAGGTTTATATAAAATAGTTTCGATTTTAACCGTTCAGTTGGTTCTCATCTGGGGGGACGTTGTCCAAGTCGATGATGCCCCCCCAGACGGCGCCCTCCTCGTGGTCACCCATCGGGGGCATCTCCAATGGCAGTATCTGTATTGGGTCTGATATGGTATTGTTAATGGGATTACCTCTGGAATCCAATTCGAGAGCCGGATCGGCGGTGGCCTCGGCCAAATTCGTTACGCTCTTCGATTTTACGCACTGGAAATCGACGTGCCTGCTCTTCGCCTCCTCTTTCTCCCAGGACATGTGGATGAACGGACGTTGGACGTAATTGTAGATCACCTCCGCTCTGCCGCCAGGACGTTTACGCACCTTCTCCTTGTAAGTGGGATAACCCTCGATTCCCAATCTTATTTTCTTCAGACCTCTATCCTTCAGCACCTGCTTCGCCACGTCCCTATTCTCGATATACTTGAAGAACCTGTACATCGTTGTGCTGTTTACAGTCTGCGAGTGTTCCTCGCCCATCTGCGGAGGATACTCCTCATCCCAATCGACGGTGTCGTCGTCCAGCAGTACCACGATGTGGCATTCGCGATCACCTCTCTCCGCAGAATTCACCATCAACGGCAGAATCAGATCCTCTAAGAACACTTCAAATTGACATCTTGCGCCTTCATTAGATAACTCATGGAGCAAACCACCTTAAAAAAAGAACAAAATATAAATAATCCAATAATATAAGAATTCAAATACTAAGCTAAGATATATAGACTTTAGTCTCCTTGAAAATGACTAATATATAAAAAAAGAACAATACACATAATGGAATTCTAATAAGAATCGCTTAGAGACGTCTTTCTCCGATCGTAATACACTTTACTGTAAAATAACAATATTCCATGAACAAATAGAAAAAATGCATAAATCTAGAAAACATAAAAATGTATTAAAAAAAATGAAAGATAACTCCAACTTCAAAGAACTTTAAAATTTTCATGAAATGCAAAATTTAAGTAATCATGTTCTAAAGCAGTGGTCTCCAACTGGTAGACCGCAGAGATAATATATTTGCAATTTTTGTTTTTAGAATCTTATTTTTATGTTTTGGCCAGCGAGATTCAATATTTTGCGTTTAGTGGTCCGTGAGTTCTAGAGTACTTAACAAAATCAAAGAACAATTTCCGAAATGGAGAAACTTATTTCATTATCTTAAGCAAAGCTAGACTAGACTATACAAATTGAGTATGATTACGATAAAGTACAATCAGAATAAACAATAACATATATATATATAGAAATATAATATGATAACTGACTAAATAATGTCCAATTGGACATCAATTAAGATTCATTTTTTTTTTGTATTTACTTACGTAAATTTTGGCAGCGAATTGTTTGAGCATCGAAAGGGACTAGCAAGTAATCGCAAGCCTCCCTCAATTCTTGAACGGACACAGTTGGTGGACATCTAATCATGCCGCCTTTGTAAAACTCCAAAATCGATCTAAAAACCATCGCCGAAATACCCTCGGCCAGCTCGAATTCCCCTCTGTCGTTCGGATGCGTTATATCCAAACCCGAGCCGAACATTCGACCTAACATAGTGTTTGGATGCGCCGTGAATATTGCAGGATCCACCACGAACCTGAAACCGCGACGTACGAATTAAAGTAAAAAAAATAAAATACAAAACACTGGTATTACCTGGTATTGTCGACAACCAACGTGATCCTGTCTTCACTGGCAACTGTATTGCATGAAATGCCTTTAGCCTGTCCAACATTTTGCATAACACGAGACCTGCAACAATTAAGGCTTATGTTAGATACCTGCAGAGACTGAATGGTCAGAGTGTACCTATTTCGGGCAGCACCACTATGGCATTGGGTAGGTACAGTGTGACACCTTGGATCCGAAATTGAAGAGCGTAAGACAAGGCACGGTTTGGGCTTGGAACATGAACCATAACTACGCAAAGCATGTACCATGTTTTCATAAGAATAAACACCAAACTGACTTAAATGTATCATTCATGGTGACAGACAATCAGACAATGCAAATAAATAAAATGCATGGTGAAATTTCAATGGAGCAGTGACAAATGGATGGATGGGGAAAATAAAACCACCAAACAGATTGTGTCTACATGAGAGAAAGGCAAGCACATATCATTGTTTATTTTGATAAAACTGTGCCTAACTGCTTAGGAGGTGTCTGTCATATGCACTGTGTGTATGTATGTGTGTTTCTGTGTGTATATCTATCTGTCTGTCTATGAGGGAAGAACAATGGAAAATCAGAGAGTGTAGAAATGTGGTTCAGGATGCAAATTATCATGCTCCAATCAAATTGACTACTTGCACACACATACACTGACTACTAAATAGCTAATGCAAAGTGCACAGAGATGGAAATTGGCATGTTACAAAATCATACCTCATACGGTTTTTGAAAACTCTTCGTCTGCGGTCATCGTTGTAATCTTCGGTATCGCTGCTTGTGTCGTTATTCTGGTATAGGTGTCTTTCGCTCGCTCCTGCCATGCTGATGCTCGGCAGCAGACACTGGACGATGAAATTGAAATAAACTAAACAGTCGTTCGAACTAATCCAGAACATAAAAGAGAACACAACGTGAAGAAATAGACGAAATCAGATGAACTGTCAAATGCGATGGTCGAAAACAGAACGGACAGAAGAAGGATGGCATTCGCAACATTCGGCCGCTGAAACTTTATAAAAAGCAACGTTCACAACCAACGCGCGCATTGTTCGAATCGAACGATTAATACGAGCGAGATCCCAAGTAATTTAACAGTTTCAGCTGATTCATTTCCAATTTGCAAAATCGCTCTGCCATCTATCGTCTGCAAATTTTTGTCTATCAGTGCTTTCCAACCTTTTGTACTATTCAAAACTGTAGCTTCTTAAAACTTAAAAACCTGATTAATAACAGTAGTGAGAGCAGTTGGTTATTAAAAATTGATTTGTTTTCAATAGCAACGTGTTAAGGAAAATGAATAACTGTATGTAAAATGGTTTGTTTTTATTATCATTCCATTGGCACGCATTGTAGCTGGGTGGACACTGAAAATGATTACAAAGCTGTCAAATCTGACGTTTAAAGTGGAGTGACCAGGAGTGACTCAGTTTCGTTTAATAGGAATAATCGATTTTAATAACATTAAATACAAATTAATTAATTATTGCGTTACAGTCGACGCATGGAACAATAAACGCCGATTCGTAAGGTTCATTTTGCCCATTAAAATTTACACATTCAACAAAATTATCTTGCAGTAAGTGATAATGGAGAGTTTTTCATCGTACCAGAATGGGAGTTCTAATAGGGAACAGGACTTCCAGAAACTGTCCCAGACCATTGGATCAAGTATCCAAAAGATTTCCCAAAATGGTGAGAACATAATGAAACCATAAACATATAGGCTAATTGTCTTTTCTCTTGTAGTGTCCTCAATGCAAAGGATGGTCAACCAAGTTGGCACCAATCAAGATTCACCAGAATTAAGGAAGCAATTGTAAGCATTTTCTTATCACGTCGTAAAACAAGTTTCTCAATCAGTTGTGTTCCAGGCATAACATTCAACATTACACCCAGCAACTTGTAAAGGACACAAATGGATACCTCAAAGATTTGCAAACGGTTCCTTCAAGCGTATCGCAATCCGAGCAGAGACAGAGGAAAATGCAGAAGGAGAGGTTGCAAGATGAATTCACGTCTGTGCTGAACCTTTTCCAGGCCGCTCAGAGGAGCGCCGCGTCGAAAGAGAAGGATCTGGTTAATAAGGCTAGAGCTCAGGCGTTCGGCGACCCATTTCTGCGTAAATAAATTGGATTAATAATCAACTGTAGTAATAATCTCGATTGAACGTTTCAGCGCCTTACAAGAAAGATAATCAATTGATTGAACTGCAGGATAGCAGTGCTTCGAGGCAACAGCAGCAAGTGCAGTCGTTACAGGAGGAAGCTGATTTGAGAGCGTTAGAGGAGCAGGAGCAGTCCATTAGGCAACTCGAGGTAAAATTGTATTTAATTGATAATTTGTTACCGTTATTTAATTCATATTTCCTTCCTTTTAGAGCGATATTAACGACGTGAATCAAATATTCAAAGAGCTCGGCGCTATGGTGCATGAGCAAGGCGAGATCGTCGATAGTATCGAAGCGAGTGTCGAACATACCGAGCATTACGTTTCCGAGGGTGTGCATCAGCTGCACGAGGCCAGTAACTACAAGAATAAAATTCGCCGAAAGAAAGTGATCATCGCGTTGATTGCTGCAATCGTTTTAACTGTGATTATTCTAATTATCGTTTACAGTCGCTGATGGGAATACGTTGTTCTCATTTTTTTAATTATTTTTCTTTCTTAACAAAAATATTGGAGTAAACGTCTTTTACTTATATTTAATAATATTCGGCAATATTTTATTTATATTATAATAATATTATATCTTATAACCGATTGCTTTCATTTAGGTTTTAGTGTATGTATATATACAGTGGATTTTAATTAATTTTCCGTTACGCAATTGCTCGGTGAAATTATATTTTTGTATTTTTTATCCTTACTATACGAGTATTGTTCATAGCGATTTGTTATCCGATTAATTGATATAAGTGTTAACAGAACTAAAACTGAATTATAGAGTTGTAACTAAATTCGAAGATTTATTTATAACATTAAGAAACTAAAAATATATTCGTTGTAACAAAACCAGAAACGTATATTTCCTTTGTATATTTTCACCTCACCAAAATTTGTACTGTTATTAATAATAACTTCTTCAATTGGTACACACTACATATAAAACATGTAGCTTGATTTATTAGTAAAATATATATATATAAATATAATTTTTCATTTTCAGTAACGTAACAAAAGGAAATAAAGAAATTTGTATTTTAAAACTGTTTCTTGATGTCGGTAACTTCTTCGATGCACTTCTGTATGTTCAATTGGTACATGGGTTTCCCGGCTTTTAAATATAAAAGCAGCGACAGCGAAAGTTCGATCAAAGTGTGTTCATTAATGTCCTCTAAAAATGATAATGTTAATGATATCTGTTAAACCAATCCATTCAAAATATTTGAGATTTGAAAGTAAACATAGTGAATGTATGATGTTACCCACCGCTGTCCAATAAATCGCTGAGATCGTTGATAACTTTGCGGCACTGTTTCTGCATGCCACTTCTGAAAAGATCATCGTAAGATTTCTTCATGTACGATACGCACTTCTTAAACTCCCATGGTAAATCGGATGATTCAACGAAGGAATCGCTTTTCAATATATAAGACAGCAGAAAAGATATTGATTTCGAAACATTTTCGATAGCATCCACTTGATTTTTCGTTTTCTTGTAATTCCGCAAAAACTCCAATACTTTGGTAGGACAGTAGGGATCGATTTTGTTGATTAAACATTTGTTCCTTAGATTAACATCACTTGACATCAATATCTGAAATAATTGATCAATTACCTGTAGGAAAATTAAATGGGTAATTCGTGTGTGTTACAGTGGTATTCTGCTGAGCTATGCGCAAACAACTGCCGAGAATTGAATCGTCTGCGGATCTGCCTTGGTACTGGTTTTGAGCTGACTCCATGGCCGATTCACCTTCAACAAAAAAGTCGAAAATTCAAAAATTGAACGAGAAAAAGCGCGAAAAATAAATTACCAATTAAATTATCCTTCTTGGCCACCAAGCATTCATTTATAAATTTAATTGCTTTCCTGCATTCTTTCTGCAACTGTTTTGATTTGACCCCATATCCATCCTTAAAATAGTCTAATTCTTGAATGACCATCCATGGAACATATATCACAGGTTTGGTGTCATCTTAAAAAAGAACATGAATTATATTACTATAACAAATTACAGAACAAAATAATACTGACCACAAAAAGTTATTTTTAAAATGTCTATTATAGTTTGTAGTTTGTCAATAAAAACGTTAGTGTCAACAACAATATAAATATTGTCTGATTTTTGAATGTTCTCATACTTTAAATTGAAGTAACTGAAATTTGTCTTCTGAGGACTGCCATCCTCTCTTTGCTTTCTCAAAGATTGTATCTGTAGGCAACAATTGAATTAATTAATATTTAATGTGGAGATTAATTAATGATTTATTCTTACATCATCCAGGATATGTTCTTCAGACATAGAAGCATTATCAGTGTCCATTTCCATATCACAGTTATCCAGATCTCTCTCAGTGCTTGCATTGCAAATCAATGATACATTTGACAAATCTGAATGGTACATGGAATCACCAGATGAAGACACAACAGCAGTTTCATGTTTCTTCAATGGTGGTTCCACATCAGAAATATCTATTGTACTTGTTCTCTTGTTTGGAGTTGAAGTGATCATATGGCAATTTGATACATTATTGTTGTGTGCAGAGATGTTTGGACTGCTCGGACACATCTTTGTTGAATTTAGTCTGGACTGTGCCGGAGTTGTGACATTGTGATCATCAGATTTTACCCGCTTCTTAATGGGACTCTCAGAACTGCCCAAGCTTGCTCTCAACCTCTTCAATCTGTTATTTGCAAGACACCTCTCTTCACCTCTGGATATTTGTACTGGCTCTTTATGGACTGACTCCTTGCATGGACTTTGTGTGTTTCCCTTATTACGTCTTCGCCCTTTCAAAATTTTTCGCTCTGCCGGAAATTCCATATCGCTTAAGCATTTAAACAACCCAACCAACTGATTTTTTTTTTTTTGAAGATCCCTCGCTTTTGAAGGTTATATTCACATATACAAATCAAAACAAATAAGAAAAGAAAGTGGCGTTGTTTTAACTATCTACCAACTTTTTATTTGTATTTAATTTTGTTAGGTTTGCAACATGAAGTTAAGTATATACAGTAAGAACCTTCATTTACGAATAAATTCGTTCTTCCGCAAACACTTCTTTTTGAAAGTGCAATTAGTTAAATCTGGAAATAAAGTAAAGATTAAATAATAATTAACATACATTGAAATGAGTTTTATTTGTATCAAAATATATGTGCAATATTATCAGTAATATGCAAAATTAATATATATCATTGCAATTAATATACATGCAAAAAAATGATGAGAAAATGATATAATAAAAATATAACAAATATCAATATAACTATAACCTAAATAAATTAATAAATAAGATATATTCGATAAAATATGTTTGTACTTAAACAATAATAATAATAATAGATACTATTAAAAACGTTGATAATTGTGACTGGATATGATATTTTTGGTTAAAATAGCTACTGTAACTCGTAATAAAAGCTGTAATGTGGAGGATCTGGAGGAATGATGGGTGGATCCTGCGGTATGGTCACACCTTCCGCATCTAAAAGACGCAGCTTTATTTCCATCGAGAGAAGCGTATCCAAATCCTTTTCAGTCTCTTTGCTTTGCATTTTATTCCCCAACAGTCCATTAATGCCATCAGTCCAATAAGCGAAAGCGAGTTCATCCGGAGCTACACAATCTAAGGACATCAGATCAACTCCTTCCAAGGCCAACGAGAAGGCGAGCTGATGGGAAGCCTTCCTTCCCCTCATATGGGGACAGTCTTTTCCAATGTACAAAGCCTTTATATCGGAGACAGCCAGTTTCGAAGCCAACTCTTCAGCGCTGGGAGCGCTCTTCTCATCGCAATCACCGTAATGAAGAACCTTATGGTTCGGGGACAATCGCATGAACCAGAATTTATCTTTAATTCGTTGACCGCGCGCCGAGTACTTCGTAAACCTCGTTCCCTCCACCAAGTACGTCAATCGCTGTTGAGTGATCAAATTGAGTATGTCCGGTGTTATTTGCTCCCTCAGCTCGACGATTGGTCTCGCATGAGATTCCCACTCCTCTCTAGAAGTACGCTCCTGCTGCCATAGACTAGTAATTTCGCTGTACGTCAGCGACTGCAACCTCTGCCTTAATTGCTCCAACGACAAAGGCGAAGTCTGCAACGCCCTTATGATTTGCTCCCTAACAACGCTAGCCACCTTACCGAAATCCTCGGAAGTTGCTCTCATCTCCTTCCATGTCTTATTTAGAAGAACGATGCAGATGCAGAAAGTCTCCTCGAATGGATAATCGTTAGCGAAGAATAGCGGTTGGAAAGTGGCTCCTTGCTCTGCAGGCGGTTCTCCGATCTTCAACAATTCGCATAAGATTTTCACCAATTCAACGCTGGCCCTGCCGAAGGGACATTCGTGTTCGTCGGCTCTGCAGCTGTTCTCCAACACCAATTTTGTATAATTATCCGGATGATTCCTGGCAAAATACACCATACAATCGAGAGCCAACAAACCGGGCGGAGTTTCCGTAAAGTCCAGAGCTGGATTAATATCATTCTTGAAGCCCAACTTTTTGTAGTCCCTCGTGAAACCGCCTGGACCCCTCATGCTTCCAGCACCTTCACTGTCAAAAGCTATTTTCCTTAGCTCCTTAATTTTGTCATGACCATCTTGATCCTGCAAAACAAAAATGTTTAGATAATAATTTCGAAATTTTGAACAAAATAATACCTGAGGGTCCATTTTCGTGACCATCCTCTGTTCGAACAAGCCCAAAATTAAAGTTTGCAGCACGTACAATTGATGAGCCATTTCGGCGCCTTCAGCGGCTCCAGTTTGAATTATGTTATTTTGTATAACAACCCTCAGCTGCTTTGAAATAAGTGTCGCCGCCACCGATTTCCTTTTAACGTAATCAGCCTTTGTCAATAATGCGTTTATCAATGCAACAGTGTTCTGCTGAACCACAGACGTTTCTTGCAAATGTGTGATCAATGATGTAACTGGAACCTCTCTCTCTACTTGCTCATAGCCTTGGCTATGATTGAGAACAACATTCTCCAGAATTGATAAAGCTGCTTGATTGATATCCTCATCCTGGGATGTGTTCACCAGACCTGCAACTCTGTTGATAAATGCCACATCCAGAATCTCCCATGAAACTATCCCATGTTCCATCAGCTCAACAAAAGAGAGCAATGTGTGTGCCAGTACTGTGCCTTTACTGTTGCCAGCCTCAATCTGCTTAATGATCAGAGTCAAACCTTGCTTGTTAATGAATTCCAAAGCAAATGTAATATCAGAACTGAGCTTGGACAACTTCTGTATAGCCATGGCTTTATCCTCTGGAGAACCTGCAGTGAACTTATGCAAAATATCTTGAGCAGTCTTCAGAGGAGAGAACTCCAACCTCAAGACAGACCCATTCTTCACCTCATTCCTGTTCTTCTCAGTGATGTAGTTTCTATTGTTGTTATCATTGAACTGAAGTGCATACTGCTCAGGTTCAGCAAGACCCCACTGGTTGCAGAGCTCCTGTATTATACAGGTGAGTGGTTGTTTTTGATTGAATTCCGTCAGATTTGGCACTTGATTGGTCATCTCGACGGCAATCTTGACGATGTTCGAATCTTTGATCGCAGGCATCTTGAGATTCTGTTTCCTATCCAGTACGGTGAATAATAAACCTCTAGCACACCTCTGAAACACTGTGTATTTAAATTATTTTCCCATAATGAAAATAAACCAAAATAAACAATTATTGGTGCCACTCCCAGACCATATATCCGCAGCAACTGTTACCAACAAGGAAATAAGGAAATCTGAAGATGTTGAGTTGAAGAATCATTAACACGAATGCCACTACTGTAAAAAGTAGTTTCAAATTTATTATAAATATATTCAACTGATAGTAATTATTGATATTGTAACAATCTCATTAAATTTAATGAATTTTAAGTAATTATTAATAATTTGCAACTTTAAAAATTATCAAATTATAACAGTCTGATGTGTTGCCTACTCTTGCTACAATATTCATTTGCCTTCTTGTTTTCATTCAGCATCAGCTGGTATCAGCTTCAGTTACTATTATTTCAATAAGATTTATTGATGAAAGTGTAGTGGTTTAATAGTATAAATAAGTGATTTAAAATGCAGGATTCCATGAAGGATTATATTCGTATCACAACCAATACTAAGGAGGAACCCAAAATAAAGTAAATTGTAACCTATTTGATTCTCTATAGTTTAATACATTTTTTTGCTAGGAAAGAGAACCTTCCAACTTTAGAGCATAAGATAAAGTGTGAAAATTATGCTCAGAGAATTGTGCTATTCTTAATTGAAGGCAAACATAAGCCAGATCCCTTCATGTGGAGTTTAAATTTCATTGACCCCGAGAATTACCAAGATGTTGTGGAAGAACGATCAGTCACCAAATTGTGTGGATATCCTCTTTGTGGAAAAAGGATTCCAGATATGCCAAATAAGCAATATTACATCTCAACAAAGATGAACAAGGTTTTTGATATCACTGAAAGGAAAGTAAGTGTCTGTTTATTTTTCTGTGTGATTGTTTGATTTAGCTTTGGGTTTTTAGAACTTTTGTAGTAATTACTGCTATCAGGCAAGCTGTTTCATAAAAAATCAAATTGATACAAGTCCCTTGTGGCTGAGAAAACCAGAAAACTTTCTTAAATACAAATTGATGGATGAGCAAAAATTGTAAGTTCACTTATTTAAATATGATTAAATCTATATTTATCTTTAATTGCAGTTTATCTCCAGGCATTGAAATTGATCAGGGTATTGTGAAAGTGGAAGAAAAGGCTTTCACATCAGTGTCCAGTTTTACTGAGGCATGTTTGGATGAAGCCCAGCAATTTGAGAAACTCAATGAACCAGATTTTCCAGATTTCGAAGAAACTGATATAAATTTAAAACCCAAATCAATTTTGAAGTCAAAAATTAAGGTTGGGTCTAAATATAAGGGTGGTGAGAGTGAGAAAACTGATGTAAATAAGATAGCAGAAGAAATCGAAGATAAATTGGTTATTGGCACTGGGAACGCGGATAAGAAGAAGCATGTGAAGTTTTCGAATCTTTCAGAGACCGAGATGGATGCAAAACCGTCGGGTTCAAAAACTCGAAGTCAGAAGGAGATCGATGATCTGAATGATAGCATCGCGCAGATTTGTAAAACGATAAAAATCAAATTGAAAACAAACGATAATTTCGGTGACGTTCAAATGAAACCGGTTCAATCGATTTTGGAAAAGGATTTGGAGGAACGGACTAAACCTATAATTTTGGATAATGCCAAAATCGAGGAAGCTGTAGCTAAAGTGAACTCTTCCGCTAAACACAACCAGAGAAAACCAATTTTGATAGAAACAAAATTGAATCCGGAAGTTAGTGCGAATAGGGAGAAGATAATGTTTTACATGAAGAATACGCCGAAGGATGTGTTGATAAAGCAGGACTTGCCTAAATACACGAAGAAAATCATCGAGAAAATTAAAGATCCGCAAGAAGATGTCGGCGCGAAGAATGTTATTGAGAAAGTAAAGAAAATGCGGAGCGGTGTAAGTAAAGTGGACGGAGATTTGCAAAAGGTTTTGGCCAAATTGAAAAGCAAAGAGAACAAGTCGAAATCTTCGATTCTGATAACCGCCGTTAAAAACCCGGAGGCTCCGAAGGCTAAGAAAGCGGACATTAAAGATAGTCTGAAACCGAACGACGAGAACATCGAATCTTTCAAAAAGATTTACAAGAAATGGCTGACCATTGAAAGTTTCATTTTTTTGCACGGCGAGGATAAAGTCAAAGCGACGCTAAACGAAGAGAAGTTGAATGATTATTTTGAAAATCTGAAAATCGCCGAACTGGAGACGGCACAGCAAATGAAGTACATGGCGATCTGCAAGAAAATGCATCTCAAGGAATTGGCGGAGGAGCAGTTCGATAATTCCATGTTGGAGAGGAGCACGAAACCGCCTCCTGATTTCGAGCAACTGAAGAGTGATAGCAAAGAGATGACCATCAAGGTGAACTCGTACTTTTCCGGTGGAATGTACGAGAAGGAGGATACGAATTTCCCAAGTAAAACCGAAGGCGAGGAAGATAATCCTGCCGTTTTGCCTCTTGCGGACGTGTGTTCTAGGAACGCGATGAGGAAGAAGATTTTCCTTAATTCTGCAATGAAATAGTGAGAAGCTTAAATCTGCATTGGTTGATTCGAATTTGTTAACTTTGTCGGTTTTAGCATCAATCAGCACGCAAAGGAGTTAGGATTGGGGGAGTGCGAGGCGGAAGATGTTCAGTACTTCTTGGAAACGTTCAAATTGGAATCGGATAATGTTGTGTTCAGGCCGAGGATGTGGAGCTTGATCGCAGTCACTTTTATTTTCGTGTAAGTTCCAACAATTCCTTTTTTTATAAATTTATTAATTCATTGACGTTCCATTAGATTGACCGTCAAGGATGAGGCTTTGAAGTCCAAGTTACGATCCACGGAGGCTCTAAATTACAAACGCGCTCTGTTCGAACAAACGAAAGACTGCGATGCGTTCCTATCAGACATCGTTTGTTTCTTTGAAAGTATCGATTCATTTGTAAGGCAATTCATTACGAGTGATCAATAATTGCAAATTTATTTATTGATTTTAATTTATATAAAGTTTTTATTTTTTATTTTGAAATCGTCATTTCTTTTCACGTTCATCCCAATTTCCTTTCCTATTCCTATTAACTAATGCCAAGTTTGATGTGCGGAATATCGCAGTTGTGACGTGACAAATCGGTTTTGGACTTTTGTCAGAATCGCGATTTGCTGCGACGATGAGCCAACGCGAAAACATGCTCTCCGCAAAGAGAGTGAGGGAACATAAGATTTGCGACTCGCGATGGTTGGCGCACGACAAGATTACACAGTACAAGGGAATAGTGAAGTTATACAGTCAGTACACAGCGGTATCCATTCTCTGAATGTTCGAAGAAGTAATCCACGTTCTGATTTTGCAGAGGGTCGCAAGAGCACCGGCTCCACGGCCATGGATATTGAAGTTAAAGAGTTGAGCAACGAGGTGCAAGTGCTATCCAATAAGATAAAAACGAACAGGGAATCTTTGGATAACATCCTATCTGGAAGCAGGCATTTGACGGAGAACGTTCTGGTTACGCACAAGGAGTTGCAGCTCAAGAATCGCGGAAACTCTCCGTTGGTAATTCTTCGATCGATAATTGTTAATCGAGAATGAGCAAAGAGTTATTTATAATTATATCATTTCATAGGAAATCATTGAATCTTTAAAACAGAACATATTTCTGAACAGGAAAAAGATTGATATGCTGCATTTCAAGCGAAAGGAACTTAGTTTTAGATTATCTAATCTTGCGGTGATTCTGCTTATATTGTAAATATACACATTAAATTGGTAATGGTAGAATTATTTTGCAGCTGGAGAAGGCCGAGTACGAATCGTACACGAAAGAACACCCGAAACTACCAGTGGAGATCGAATGCGGACGTATTACTGGTAAAGTTCAGGATAGGATTTTATTGACTGAAGCTGCGATCTCCGTGAGGAACACGTACAGAACGATGATCAAAATATTACAAAAAGTATACAATACGTTAATTATTAATATAGACAACATTTTTTTTTATAGCAATTGCTTGAATTTTCTAGGATCGTATATTTTACGATCAACTTTTGGAGACGCTGAAGAGGGACCAGGTCGACCAATCGAAGTGCATCTTTCAGATGACGGTGCTCGGTCAGTTGGCAGTCGAGCAGATGGACGATGATCGACTTAACTTCTTCGAGCTTCAGAAGTGCGTCAAAGAATCGTTGTCCAGACGCAAAATAGATTTGCAGAAAGTGCACGAGCAATTGAACGAGTTCCCAAAGAACATGACCATGATCGTCAGAATGGATGTGCGTCACAACATTAAAAAATAAAAGTATGTTAATATTTTTCATATTTATTAATGTTTTATGATTTCCAGGAGGATGAGACAACTTACGGCCTCGAAATCGACGACGAGTTCGAAGAGGTCAAGAGATCCTTGAAGACTGTCGAGAAGGTTTTGAAAACGCTGAAGGAGGCGGTTTTCGTAAATAAATACGAGAAAATCCTACCATGGTATGTTTAAATTCTCAATTGTTTTACCTATCATTTGTTTAAGTTTATCAATTCAAAATAAGACTATTGAACATTACTTAATGTAAATTGCTTATTTCTTTAGTTTGAAGGATCAGTTGACTATTACCGAGAAACTGACTACAATTAAGACGAAGAATTTGAATGACACGCAAGAACTTGGCAAGAGGATCGAGCACGCCAAGGTGAATTTGGAGCGGTGCAAAAATGAGGATAATTTGAGCAGGTTGAGAATTCCGTACGAACTTTGAATATTTGAAATTTTATTGTGAGTTGAGCAGTTTCGAAGCTTCCTGTAAAGAGTTTCTGGGGAAGATCGAGGTTTTCAAGAAGAAGCTGAACAAGTGCACGCAGAGGAAGGAGATCGTCGGAAAGAAAATCATTCAGGCGCATTTAGGCCTGAAGTCCATCTACTGCCTATGCAAAGCAATCAACAAAAATAAATCGCACGACGGGAAAAAAACGGAAATTAATATTACTTTTTCCGCAGAGGACGTGGATTACCCGGAAAAAGGTTTTTAATTTCTTCATATTATTTTTGTGTTTAACATTTCGAATGTTCTTAATTGTGTTGCAGCTACTGAAATGGTCGAAGTTATCATCAACAAATTGAACATGTTGGATTCTCTGATGCGAACGCACAACATGGGCATCACTGACGACATGCAAATGGATCATTACAGAGCTTATTCGGTTTTGAATCAGGAATTTCACGAGCCGACGGTTAATTTCGATGTAAACGCCGAGCCGATGGAGGATTTCGATGAGGTGCGAACGGATAACACCGTCTTAACCAGACACGAAATAAAGGAGATGAGCAGGTTAATGGTGCAGAAGAACAAGGAGGAACAGCTGTTTTAAGTTTGATAGTGTTTTTATTTACATATTTATATACTCTTTAAGTTCATCTTTTTTATTTATTTATATTTTATACAAAAGTAGTACAACAAATATTATATATTTAGAGAAATGGTTTTGTTGCTTTTTTTTTCTTCAACGTTCGAGCATTTATAGAATTAGTTTGAAAGAATAAGGAATGATAATTGTTACTGTTTAAAAATATGTGTTAGGATTATAAATTTAGTATTGGATTAGTGCCATTAGATATAAAAGATTCTTCCTCAACAGTTTAAGTGTCAAATGGAAGAGCTGGAAAGAAGTTGAAGAAGAAGAAGAAGCTTAATTATGAAGTGTATCGGTAATCACCCATAACCAAAAGTTCAGTTCTTGTAGTCCTACAAAGAGAAAGAAATGTGTTATAAAAATCGATACGTGTCGGGGAGGAAGGAAGAAACGAACGAAACGAAAAAAAAAATACAATTATAAAATTAAAAAACAACTTATCCTAAAAGACAAAAAAATGGTTTACACATAATACAACAACGGAACAACAAAAATAAACTTATTTTGGGTGAGCAGTCTATATTGTATATACCTCTGCGAGCTTCTCGTTGCTATCTCTCAGTTTGAACATCTTCTCTGGCCCGACCATCTTCAACATGCTGAAACGAGAAAGAAGGATCATTTAGATTGAACGACATAGTTTATAACATGAATCAATTATTACTTATATTAATAAGTTAATACTGTAATTGATTCCGAAATATATAGATATTGAGTGTTTCATCGATTAAATATAGCATTAAATATTTAGGTTTCTGTTCTCGGTTGGATGGCAAAAATACTAAATGGATTAAAGTCTGGATATAAATGATTAACGCTTTTCGTTCGATGGATCAGTGAAAGATGAGGTGTCTCTTGATGTACTACTTATCGGTGATCGTGGTCAGCATCGGTGGCCGCATCGAAGTGCCGGAACGCATCGCGACCACAAAACAGTCAACGGTGATGTCGCTCTTCAGCAGCGTCAAATTCAAGACGTTCATCATCCTCGATTTGAGCGATGATGGCGAGTTGTTTGATCTTAAAATGGATTGGATCATGGGTTCTGAGCAGGGACCGAATTGCATTTACTTCTTCCAAGCAAATTTCAAAATCCTCGCGAACGTAAAGCTGATCGACCTCACGCACATTAACATATTGAATAATTTGAAAGAACTGCAACTGTTCCTAACATTTCAACACGGCGATTACGAGTACAATAAGTATATTAAATACGTGTTTTTCATAGCGAATTTCGAGGAAGGCGACGAGAAGTATTTGTCTGCAATCATGAGCATGATCTGGATGAGGAACATGTGGAATTACAATCTGGTTTATTTCAGCGAACGCAAACTAATCAACTTCGTTTACAATCCGTTCAGCAAAAAAATCACGACCAGTTCGAACGGCACGAATCAAATGAACAAGTTTAATGATCTGTATGGGTACAATATTAACGTGTCCATGCACCATTTCACCAAAGACGAGGATTTTTTGGTGCTCAGATCCATCGAGAAAATACTTAATGCTACGTTTCAAGTCACTTTGACTTGGAGCTACGAAGAGATTTATCTGGACGTCAAGGAGGGAAGAAGCGAGTTCTCTTTGGTTGGGCAATTTCATGGGTCTTTACCAGGTGTGAAATATACGGAACCTATTAAACCTGATCACATAGTGGTTTTGGTCTCTAGATCTCCGATTCTTCCGCAATACCTGAAGCTTCTGCTGATCTTCAGCCCGATCATATGGATCGACTTGATCTTGGTCATTGTAATCTCCATTTTCGTGGTGTACCTTGTGCATCGGAGGAACTTCAACATGATCATGCTGGATTTGTTCAGAGTTCTGATCGGGCAAAGCGGATTCTTCAGGGCGAACGTTTATCGAGCAGCCGTGCGAGTCTTCCTCATCAGTTTGAGCTTCTTCAGCATCATAGTCAGCAACGTGTACACCTCGTCCTTGCTGAGCGCCATCCTCACAGTTAAATACTACCCGGAGATAGACACCTTGGAGGAATTGCGCGAGAGCAACTTATCCATTTGCACGTTAAACGAATACAGGCATTTAATACCGCTAGACTTCAGGAACAGAACGATACTCATGGATCCACTGGAATTCGCAAGGCATATTCTGCTCCAGAGGAATTCGAGCTACGCCTACGCCATCATGCATAGTCTCGCAGACCGCATCATCTCCACTTACGTCCGGCGACACGGAACTAACGATTTCCACATGGTTCAAGAGAGTTTCGTGCCCGGCTTCGAGGGTTTCATCTTCAATAAAAAATCTCCGTTCATATACAAGATCAACACTCTATTAAAGACTATACAGCAGAGCGGCTTGAACCGCTACAACAGCGGCAGCAAGGAGACGAGATCTATAGAATTCCAAGGGTACACCACTTTGAAGCTATATCATTTCGCCACTCCGTTCGGAATTCTCATAATCGGATCAACTTACAGCATTATTATTTTCGCACTCGAATTGATCGTGAGCAAATTCTACCCTATTATCGGTCAAAAAAGTTCCGTCGCTGCTGATTAAACGCAATTAATTGCTCTGGGTCATCGAAACGTAATGAGTCAAGTACTTAGTACACACTATATTTGTTTGTGTCTACTCTTAATTTACAACAAATGTATTTATAACAATCGAACAATAAAACAGTTCATTTCTTTGAATTAATTGATCATTGTCTACTATACTATAAGTAGATATGATATAACATTCACTTTAAAATGCAATTGATGCAAAACCATTTATCCCTGCTTAACTCCATTAGGTGATAATTCTGTTGTGACAAGCTCACTAAGTGATGACGAAATATTTGAAATGACCATGAATTTATCGCACGCAATAAAAAAAAGGTATTATAAAAATAACATTATAATTGTACTAGTAGAATATTTCATTTTGTAACTCTCGAAAAAAGGTTAATCCCATTGCCTTATTGTTTGTTTTCGGTTAGTACATCAATTATGCTTAAACTTTACCTCCCTGTTTAATCAATTGAAATTGCGCATTTAAAATAAAGCAATTGCAATAATAAACCCATGAATAATATCTGTATTTGAATGATAACAATTTTTAGAGGCGCAGTGTAAATGTTTACGCGAAAACATCTACGATAAACGCGAAAATCGAAACAAAAATGCGAATTGAATCACTCGAGATTGTCAACTGATGTTAACTGATATGTTTACAGGACGTTTGCAGTAATTACTTTGTTCGGCGATTCTCAGCACCTTGACTTTTAAGTATCAATCCTAATCGTTCATTTCGTTGAAGCAAATATTATTGTAACTATGATTTAAAACAATAAGTGCATTTAATTACATTATCGAATGCACAATCGTTGCCACTTGAAAGAAAAAACAATATAGTTTTAGCACTCGCAAATAATTCAATAGACGCGCAAAATAATAGTGGAAACGCAAAATAAATTATTTTCGTTATACTCACATGCCGTAAATGGTGGGAAAGTACGTGTACAGATATACGAAGGGTATGAGAGGAAAGACGGCCATCCACGATTCTTTGGTCTTGTTTGCTATGGCAATTGCGCACAGTTGACCGCACCTCTGCCCAGTCATTCTTTTATCGGTGGATTGGACAGTCTCTCCGTATTTCTGGAAAAACACAAATTTACGTTTACTTTTAAGTTTACTAAATACTAAACAAGAAAAAGCACCTCTCCCGATTTTCCGGTGAAACTTTCCTGCAGGAAATTGGTAAATGTCGGACCGGGACACAGCAGGGTCACGGCGATATGTTTACCCGTTTTCTCCGTCCTCAGGCAGTTCATGAATCCCTAAATATACAAAAAAAAGTAAACTGATTATTCACAATTGTTGAGAAGCCTTCGCCTACTATGGATTGTATAAATATTATCAATATCTTGACAAGTATTTACTTGGGAAGTATCGCGTTACGAGTAGTTCTTACGTGTATTGCGTGTTTGGAAGCCGTGTACGAGGCGGAGTACGGCACACCCATGACACCGGCAATGCTCGAGGTGACCGCGATTTGACCGGAACCCCTCTGATTGAAGTGATCGATGGCGATCTTCGTCAGATTCACCACAGAAAAGACGTTCAGCTCGAAGAGTTCCTTGTGCACGGACATTTCGATGTTCTCGAAGACGGCCCTCTGGCTCCTACCAGCATTGTTGAAGAGTATGTCTATGCCGTTGAAGTGTCTCGCCGCCCTATCGAAGAGTGCCTTGTGCGAATTTAAATCGCACAGATCCATGGGCAGCACCAGGACATCGTTGTCCTGCAGAACACCTTTCGATTCCTCTAGCAAAATAAAACAATTATTAGCCTTCCGCTATCGATACTTAAATTTATCATTTCAAACATGACAGCAGGTAATAATATTAATGACATAACAATGTCCGAAAACAAAAAAAAAAACAATTGCAATGGAAAACTATAATTATTAATCTCCTGTTAAAAAGTTTAGAAGTGTTTGATAAGAACAGAACAAATGGATTTCTTTAATTTCAGCAAGGTAATAAAATTAAATTAATTATCACAATTAAGTATTCTTTTCTAAATTATAGTTTATATTTGTAGATGACACAACATTGCAATTTAATTGAAATTATTTTTTTAATGCATTTGTCATCATAAAAATCGTAAGCCTACTTAAATCACATTAAAATACACATTTTATTTGGAATGTCATATTTGAATACAAACAATTTTTAAATTAACAAAATTACATGCAAATAAATTTTAATAATTTGAATCAATTTATACATTTACCATTGATGTGTTTATGAATCAAAATTGTTTGTAAACTTTTTCATTATTTAAACAAATTTGGTATTTGAATGTGAAAATATTGTTCGAAAATTGAGATGAAAAATTTTCAGGGTTGTTAATATTACTACAAATATCGTTTCCGCAATTTGTTGACATAAAACATTTGTTTGATTGCATAAAATAAAATGTGTCTCGTTAACAACATCAGTTCGTGCAGCAATTAATCCTCCCATGACCTCACTTTTATAGATATAAAATTTGAATATGAATCATGTAACAAACATGCACAGGAAAGAAAAACATGTGTTGTTACGTAAGATGTGAAATTACCTAAACATGCCCTCTTAACTCGTTCCAATTCGCCCCTTCTTCTCGCTGCCAGCACCAGTTTGACCCCATGCCTTGCCAATACGATCGCCGTTTGTTCACCAATGCCACTCGATGCTCCGGTAATGAAGCACACTTTACCTTTCAGTCGACCTTCGCATCCAAAAACAAACAGAGAAACAAAAAATAACGCGTTAAGATTAAATTAATTATTTTACGCTTAATTACATAGCTTTTAAAGATATATACGTTATAATAAACATACCAAAATTGAAACATTTTATTAGCATGCACGTCGCAACAACAATAGTATATACGTCCTTTTAAGACGCGGTATTACCGAAGTAAAATTCAAACTTAATTCCTAAATTTGAAGACCCAACAAACTTCTAGAGAACTGAGTCACATAACTTCGTCAACTGAATCAACATCGGTTGATATGGAATATAAAAAAATCATCCCTTGACTTAGCAACCAAATTAATGTGTAATTTCTCTTTCTTGGTCATTTTTGTGGAGTAAATTATAATAAAGCTAGTAAATATAATAAATAAAATGCGTGTCTCATGGATTGACTTGAGAATTCTTATGTATTCGAATTCTGCAAATATTTTGGTCTTGAAGCCTTGACATTCAGAAAATATTGTTGTAAATGCGCTAAACGCTATCATATTAAATTCCAAAGGTTAAAATATATCCAAAGTGTTTTATAATTCAAATAAAAATTGAAATTAATATTAATGCTTGCACGTTGTTATTGATAATTTACATTCATTCGAATTAGATGCGTTTATATAATTATGCGCTTCATGTCCAGTAACTGCACTACTGCATTAACATTATCAGATAAAGTTGCGTATTGTTCTGTTATCTGTTATTCCTTTGGAATAACGTCCACGTAGCTCGTGTTCTGCGAACACAAATGTGATTGTTGTTTTTAAAGTCTTAAGCAATCTTACCGATGCTTTTTCCGAATCTTTCGTAGATTGCGAGCTCCAGATCGCAGTCCAGGAGGAGCAGAGCCAAGAGGTAAACGACGCCATACACGAACACGCCAATGCCGATGAGTGACCACAACATTTTCGAACTGGTCTTTCACTGCACGCTCGATCTTTGTTACTTCTTGCCACTTAGCACTCTCGGTCACTTCTGCTTTGTTGCTAGCGCACACAAATTAAAGTTACTGCGCGACGGGTAGCAGTTAAGCTATTTCTATCCGAATTAAGACCTCCTACTCGGAGGAAGGCTCTTGGTGGGGGAGGTGCAGGTGCCAATTAGAGTTCATTGTAATTCATCGAAAACAAAATAAACGTTTTGCATTATCCTCGGACGTTTATCATTTAAAGATAGACGATCATCAACATTTCATACTCATTGATTGTATTATTTAAAGTACTTTTACATATAAAATTGGATTGTTTATTATAATTTCAAATTGTTCCATCGCATTCGCTATTTTTTAGCAGTCTTTAATCTCTTAATCTCACCTATAAAGATGATTAAAATTATCTAATGAATGCCACTAATTTGGGCTACTAACCCAATTAAGCTACAATTTTACTGTTTAACGAAGTACATTTACTGTTAACATTCTGTACTTTAAATGCATTTGGATTGATGTTCAAATATAAAGAGAATTCAACGGAAGTATCGATTTCTTGATGCGTTGTATATTTATCTATATAAAGCAAAGAGGTCACTCACATTTCAAGGAATGTGATATTAGTTTATAATCTCAGGATTTGAGAAAAAAGAATCAACTGTTTGTTTGAAAAAAATGTATTCTCATTTAATACCGACAGGAACCAAATATCTTACATTTAGCTGAAGATTCGAAAATGAGTCATCATTAAATGAATAAAGTTGCTGTGGAAGAATGGTGGGTGTATTACAAAGAGTAATACAGTCATACAATTTATGTTAATTGTTGTTTATTAAATATTAAACTGTATATATTAATTGTAGCTTCTTCATTATACAGTGAATAAATTATGTCTATCAATAATTAATGGAATATTTTGTAATAAATGTAGTTGAGTAATTGTGACCAAATATATTCGAATCCATACATGAATATGAAGAAATGATAAATTTCTACAGATTATTCAAAATATAATTGTTAAGCGCTATTAGAGTAAGAATCCAATTAGATTCCTTATGAAATCACCTGATCATTTATAGGCAACCAAGTATACACGTTAATCACAATCCAAAAATATCATATATTGCTTAAAAGAAATTATCATCAAGTGCGTAATTGATATTGTTTTGACCAATTTTAATGAAACTGATCAAGAATCAAATTTACAAATAAGTAATTCGCAAGATTTTTTTCCTTCCGTTTTTAACTTCGTGTCGCTTAATCAGTACGACGTTTGTGGTTATGTCCGTTTTCTGCTGCTAGTGTTGTTGGGAGATGTGATATGATTAAGCAAAAATGGCCATAATTAAATCGATATTTAGTGCTTTACTTGTGATAATATTAGTAACAAAGTCTGCGTTCAGTTTGTACGAGGACCAAATTGGAAAGTTCGACTGGAAGAAGGACCACATCGGGAAATTGAAGTTCGCCGAGTTCGATTCGGTGAAGCGCGTAGTGATCGCAACGGAGGAAAACGTCCTGGCCTCCCTGAACCTCAAGAATGGTCAAATTGTGTGGAGGCAACTGTTGGAGCACTCTGATGTTCATAGCATCGAGCTGATGCATCTGGACACTGAGGTGATCACAGTCTCTGGTAATGGTAATATCTATTATGTTCGGGGTTGGGACCTGAACACTGGTGTGCTGCAATATGAATGGAGCTTGTCCACAGAGAAGAGTGGAAAGTGGATTGCTACGAAAACGCATTTAATCCATGTTGTGGCAGTGGTCAACTCTCATGTTGAGGTGACAAAGTATGAGATTAAGACAGGCATGAACAAGGGTTCTAGTTCCAGGATCTCAACTCCTTGGATGACTAATCTTGAGATGTGCGTTCTAGCTGGTACACACTGGACTTGCATTTCAAGTGAGAGCAGTGAAGATGGTAAAATATACTCCATTGATCTTAATGGTGATATGAACAAAATTGTGGCCAAGTCACTGGATCATTTAATAGGTGCAGCAAGTGGTGCTGTCAAAATCAAAGAATTTAAACATTCCGAACCTGCCATCCTATTGGAAAGGAATCATGTACATAGATTAGTATTAATTGGAGAAAATCCAACTGTTCTGCCTTATTCCCTAGAGTCAAATGTCATTAGCCTCCCAGGTGGCGAGCATAATTCAATTGTACAGATGGAAGTGGTCCGTACTAGTGAAGAGAAGCCTTTGCAACTGAAGACATTTGATTTGGAAACTAATGATCAGAAAATTATACCTTTGGAGCCACCATATACAGCCGTCGCACCACATTTAGTCAGTGGTATATGCAGAGGATCCAACTGCAGAATTGTGTACAATAACGATGATAATGCGATTGTGCTGCTGCAGCTGCCTGCAGGTAAAGTCCAATGGGTTAGGGAAGAAGCGTTGAGCGAAATTGTTGCCTTGGAGTTTGTCGATTTACCTTTGTCTGACTTGGAGGCGTCCATTGAGCGCGAATTCAATGAAGCTTCGAGCGATATTTTCAGCATGTTCATGAACCGCTTGGTGAGCCAAACCCGACAGATGACTACATTAATAACCGGTAAACCGACTGCGTCCGGTAACGTATTGGTCAGAGATAACTTCGGGTTGCACAAGTTGATTGTTGTGGCCACGAAAGTTGGTAAATTGTTTGCTTTGGATACGATAACCGGTGAGATAATTTGGTCGAGATATTTGAGAAATATAGCGCCGTTCGATGTCATTGACAAGAAGGTGATGGTGCTGTATCTGCAGAGGACGGCGCGTTACGCTCCTCTTTCTGCGGAAATGACTCTGGTTGCGAAGCACAGCATTGGAGGCGAAGGTGTCGTGTTCAAGTTCGATCCGATCACCGGAAAATCGATCGGTGGAATTAACATGCTGAACTTTAAGATTAAGCAGGCGACGCTGCTGCCGTTCGAGGATAAGACGCACGTGAAGGGGTTGATTTTGTTGGCGGAGAATAATCAGATCCACGTTTACCCGCCCAACGCGAAGAGCATGCTGAAGGATTACACCGGAACCATGTTCCTGTACAACGCGGATTCTGAGAAATCCATCTTGACTGGTTACACATTGATTTACGGAGATGAAGAGAACCCTCAAGCTACGCCAACCTGGCAATTGAATTTGGCTGGTTCGAAATTTGTTGCTTTAAGTATGAGACCCAGCATCGAACGCGTCCATTCTCAAGGAAGGGTGTTGGCCGATCGCTCCGTTTTCTACAAGTACGTGAATCCTAATTTGATCGCTCTTGCGACTGTCTCTGACGATGCTATGCACAAACATGTACTGAGCGTGTATTTGGTCGATGGCGTTACCGGATTGGTGGTGTTTTCCGCCCATCACAAACGTGCCAACGGTCCCGTCCACATGGTGCACTCCGAGAACTGGATCGTTTATTCCTACTTCAGCGAGCGATTCAGGAGGTACGAAATGACGTCGGTGGAACTGTACGAGGGAGCTAAGCAGAGCAACAGCACCGCCTTCAGCTCGCACGCCCTCAGCCAACTACCACATCCGGAGAGTTTATCGTACATAATGCCCGCAACGCCCTTGGGTATGACAACCACCCTCACCGAAAGAGGAATCACCAACAAGCATTTGCTCATTGCGCTGAGTAACGGCGGTATCTTGGAATTGCCTTGGGCATTCGTCGAGCCTAGAGGTCCTCATCTGGCCTCCACCCCCGAGGAGGGTTACATTCCGTACATGCCGGAGATCCCCATTCACACGGAAAGTATTATTAACTATAACCAAAGTCTGGCGAGGATCAAGGGCATACAGGTGTCTCCGGCGAAGTTGGAGAGCACCAGTCTAGTCATTGCCTTTGGCTTGGACATCTTCTACACGCGCGTCACCCCGTCCAAGACGTTCGACGTGCTGAAGGAGGACTTCGACCATTGGCTCATCATCATGGTTCTTGTGGGTCTCACCCTCGCTTCCTACGTGACCAAGAGACTTTCCATCAGGAAAGCGCTCAAGCAGCAATGGAAGTAATCTTCATACATAAATAGTGTATTCAATATTTTCTGTTTACTAGTTCAATTCAAATCATTGTATTTAATTTATTTTGTAATAAATGGACACTCTGTGGGAACATTTTGTACAATGTTGTAAAATTAAAACAAACAAAAAAAAATAATAATTAATTATAATAGTGATGGCATTTTCTTAGGTTTTCTTTTTATTTATATACATATAAGGTTTGTATGATTTGTGTTCATCGATTTTATTGAATAATTAATGTTTGGTAATTTCACGAAATGAAAAGAATGAAAAAAAAATCTGTAACGGAATTAAAATGTATTGTTGTTTTTATTACATAGTTTATTGCATTTCCTTCATCCTAACATCCTCAAACATGTACAAAGAAACCAATTTTAACATCCTCATTTCCATTTTGGTAATTGTTCATCTGCCAAGTAATTAATTTACAATGAAACTAATTTACTACAATGCCAACTATTCGAAAGGCATCATTTTGGCCTACATTTATTAATGGCAACGTGATCTATATACTAAATTTACTAACTTGTAAATTACATTATTTACATTTCGTTGCTTGGATACATACAAAGTTTGTAAGTATCAAATGTACACAAACTTTATTTATACCGAAGTAAAATAATAATCTTACATTATGAGACTATTTCAGCCAATTGCATTGTTCAATCGAATGTTATTGAATTACTTTACTTCATGCTATTTAGAAATTGTCTCGGCATATTTAAATACGCGAAGAGACGAATCATGAATACGAGTAATGAACAATTGGCAACGGCAGTAGGTCAAATATTATTAAGTTAAACGACCCACTTTCCTGAAAGCTAATTTAGTCTTGTGTTTTCATCGTCCAGTTAACATTTAACCCGTCCTGTTCGGCGCATAATTTCATCTATTATATTACCCTTGCAGTTAAATCTGCGAGATGAAATCATTAACTAAAGTAAATTGCGATTTCTTTCAATCGACACATGCACATCAATAAATGCTTGTAGATTTGACGTAATATTATAAAACGAGGGGTAATTTGTTTAATGATGTTCGAAACGACACTTTGCATATTTGATGAGACTGACCCAGTTAAAAAAAGGATGGAAGAAATGTATAAGCAAACGACTGAAAGATAAAAATATATATTTAAATATTAAAATATAAATAACGAACAATTCAATGCATTGGAATGAATTAAAAGTATTGATTAACTATTAAAAAGTACTGATTAATTGTTAGATGTCAGTTTGAAATGTATTGAAAAGTAGTGCTCATTTTTGATGGTATATATTTGAATATAAGTAGGAGTTGTTTATTTTATGAAACTATGTTGAATCTGTGATTGAAATAATTAATTCAATTTGTATGGTACGTAAGGATGATAAACGTAACGGCTGGTTAAATTTTAACTGACATATGTCAATTCTTATAATAAAAATGGTTAAAAGTGATAAGTTTGATAGGAATTGAAAAGTTTTTGATGATGTTCAATTGCTATGCTAATATTTAATCGAAAATATTGATTTTAGCTCATTTGATATCAACGTATTGAAATACAGTTTTTTTTATTAACTGTCATATTGCATTGACTTTAAAAGTACTGATTAAATGTTAACTATAAGATAGTAGTTACTAAATATTTATAAAAAGAAGTCAAAATATTAATTAAATGTTTACGTGAACTGTTCGTTTTAGGTGCAGTAGTTTTTGTGAAACTATGTTGAATGATTCAAATTATTTACTTAATATACCTATGAAAGGCATAACGGGTTGTTAAATATTATCTGGCAGATGTCAATATTTTGAAAAGTGTTGGTTAACCCTTTCAATTACCAGAAATTCTAGACCCAAGACAACTAAATCAAAACTTCGTCAATTGAATCAACATAGACATTTTCTACTACTATATGAAATTGAAAAGAGTTAAAAGTATTGAAATGTTTTTGATGGTATAATATTTATTCAAGTATGTTGAAAATATTGATTTTAGCTCATTTGAATCGAGATATCAACGTATTGAAATACAGTTGTTATATTAACTGTCAGATTGCATTGACTTTAAAAGTACTGATTAAATGTTAACTATAAGATAGTAGTTATCTAATATTTATAAAAAGAAGTCAATATATTAATTAAATGTTAACGTGAACTGTTCGTTTTAGGTGCAGTAATTTTCGTGAAAGTATTTTGAATGATTGAAATTATTGACCTAATATACCTATGAAAGGCATAACGGGTTGTTAAATATTAACTGGCAGATGTCAATGTTTTGAAAAGTGTTGGTTAAACCTTTCAATTACCAGAAATTCTAGACCCAAGACAACTAAATCAGAACTTCATCAAGTGAATCAACATAGACATCTTCTACTACTATATGAAATTGAAAAGAGTTAAAAGTATTAAAATGTTTTTGATGGTATAATAGTTATTCAAGTATGTTGAAAATATTGATTTTAGCTCATTTGATCTTATAGTTAACATTTAATCAGTACTTTTAAAGTCAATGCAATCTGACAGTTAATATAACAACTGTATTTCAATACGTTGATATCTCGAT